CAGCGCCCCGCGTCACTCCTCCTCCCGCTGCTCCCCCCTCCTCCCGCGCAGTCCGCATGGCGGCGCCGCCCCATTTGGCGGGCTCCACCGAAGGCCCCAGTGGCAGGGTTCGCATGCAGTTCCGCCCCCATCTCGGCGCACCCCTCACACGGTTCGTGGCCCCAGAGGGAGCTCCACCGAATGCCTCAGTGGCAGGGTTCGCATGCAGCCACACACTCGCTTCGACGCACCCCTCACACGGCTCGTGGCCCCATTTGGCGGGCTCCACCGAAAACGCCAGTGGCAGGGTTCGCATTCAGTACCACCTTGATTCTGGCACACCTCTCACACGTTTCGTGGCCCCATAGGGAGCTCCACCGAATGCCTCAGTGGCAGGGTTCGCATGCAGTTCCACCCTCATTTCGGCGCACCCCACATACGGTTTGTGGCCCCATAGAGAGCTCCACCGAAGGCCACAGCGGCAGATTTCGCATGCAGTTCCACCCTCATCTCGGCGCACCCCTCACACGGAGGCTCCACCGAATGCCTCAGTGGCAGGGTTCGCATGCACTTCCACCCTCATTTCGGCGCACCCCTCAAACGGTTCGTGGACCCATAGGGAGTTCCAACGAATGCCTCAGTGGCAGGGTTCGCATGCGGTTCCACCCCCATTTCGGCACACCCCTCACGTGGTTCGTGGCCCCATAGGGAGCTCCATCGAAAGCCCCAGAGGCAAGGTTCGCATGCAGTTCCACCTTCATTCCGGCGCACCCCTCACACGGTTCGTGGCCCCATGGGGGGCTCCACCGAAGGCTCCAGCGACAGTGTTCGCATGCAGTTCCACCCTCATCTCGGCGCACCCCTCACACGGTTCGTGGCCCCATGGGGGGCCCCACCGAAGGTTCAAGCGGCAGTGTTCGCATGCAATTCCACCCTCATTTCGGCGCACCACTCACACGGTTCGTGGCCCCATAGGGAGCTCCACCGAAAGCCCCAGCGGCAGGGTTCGCATGCAGTTCCACCCTCATTTCGGCGCACCCCTCAAACGGTTCGTGGCCCCAAACGGAGCTCCATTGAAGGCCCCAGAGGCAAGGTTCGCATGCACTTCCACCCTCATTTCGGCGCACCACTCACACGGTTCGTGGCCCTATAGGGAGCTCCATCGAAGGCCCCAGCGGCAGGGTTCGCATGCAGTTCCGCCCCCACTTCGGCGCACCCCTCACGCGGTTCGTGGCCCCATAGGCAGCTCCCTAGAAGACCGCAGTGGCATTTCAGCTGCATGTGGTTGGGTCTTTCGTCAGGCTAATTTTCATCCTGGCGCTTTTCGTTCACTTCGGCCTCTTGGGTCCGTTTATCAGAAATTCTGGGACCACGGATTGAAGTTATCCTGGCGAAGGACCCAACCATGTGCAGTTGTGAATACCGGAGTTGTGATTATTTCGTTCGGTGGAGCTCCCTAGCCGTATGCGAACGCAGCCGCTGGGGCCTTCGATGGGGCTCCCTATGGCGGCCACGAAACGTTCGAGGGGTGTGCCGAAGTGGCAAGAGGAACCACAAGCGAACGCAGCCACTGGGGCATTCGGTGGAGCTCCCTGTGGGGGCCACGAAACGTGTGAGGGGTGTGCCGAAATGGGGGTGGAACCGCATGCGAACGCAGCCACTGGAGCCTTCGGTGGAGCTCCCTATGGGGCAACGAAACGTGTGAGGGGTGTGACGAAATGGGGGTGGAACCGCATGCGAACGCAGCATTTGGGGCCTTCGGCGGAGCTCCCTATAGGGCCACGGAACGTGTAAGGTGTGTGTGTGTGTGTGTGTGTGTGTGTGTGTGTGTGTGCCGAAATTGGGGTATAACCGCATGCGAACGCAGTCACTGGAGTCTTCGGTGGAGCTCCCTATGTGGCCGCGAACCGTGTGAGGGGTGTGCCGAAATGGGGGTGGAACCGCATGCGAACGCAGCCACTGGGGCCTTCGATGGAGCTTCCTATGGGGGCACGAAACGTGCGAAGGTGTGCCGAAGTGGGGGTGGAACTGTATGCGAACTCTGCCGCTGGGGCCTCTGGCGGAGCTCCCCGTGGGGCCGTGAAACGTGTGAGGGGTGTGCCGAAATAGCGCTGGAACCGGGCGCGAACGCAGCCACTGGGGCCTTTGGCTGAGTTCCCTGTGGGGCCACGAAACGTGTGAGGGGTGTGCCGAGGGTGGAACCGCATGCGAACCCTGCCGCTGGGGCCTTCGGTGGAGCCCCCTACGTGGGCCACGGGACGTGTGAGGGGTGCACCGAGAGGGGGGTGGAACCGCATGCGAGCGCAGCCGCTGGGATTTTCGATGGAGCTCCCCATGGGGCCACGAGGCGTGTGAGAAGTGTGCCGAAATGGCGGTGGAGCCGCATGCGAACTCAGCCACTCGGGCCCTCGGTGGAGCTCCTGATAGGGCCACAAAACGTGTGAGGGGTGTGCCCACAGTTTCGCACACCCCTCACATGCTGGAGGAGGAGGCGAACGGGGGAGGAGGAGGAGGAGGAGGAGGAGAGGAAGGAAGGAAGGAACGCGGGGCGCTCATAGGAAGAGGAAGGAACGAGGAAGGAGAGGAGGAGAGGAAGGAAGGAAGAAAACGAGGACCCAGCACCACAGGATGGTCGGGAAAATACTCACTGCGTGGAACTCCCCATGGACAAACACTTACGTTGAACAATACAATGGTTACCGGGCAGGGGGGATCAACAACACCTATTCTTTAGACGTGAGAATTCAACAACAACAGCAACAACAGCGACAACACCACCAACAACAACAACGTCAACAACACAACACCGACGACGATGACAACAACACCACCACCACCAACAACAGCACCAATCCGCACCGCGGAACCTCACTTCAGCCTCGTGCCCAGGGACAGTGAATGACCGTTCGGCCCCCTCACTCTGAGATCGGAGGATGTGTGGGTAGGCGGGCGGTATGCACTAAAAGGTGTCTCACGCGAGAGTCATTAGAAACTAATGCATTATTTATTCAAACCGCCGGCGCGGCAACTCGCGTGGAAGAGGCGAACATTACGGGCGATCTTCCGCGAACGCCATCCGCGCAGTCGACCCTGTTCTGAGCTATACGACAACTTCAATAAAGCATCACGCCAGAATATGGAGTTACTGCGCAGTAGCTTGTTGGCCCAGATCATATGAAAACTGCAGCATGTCGGGCTAATGCGGATTTGTGCCAAGGAAATGCCTGGGCGAAGGGCTAATTCAACCTCCGAGGAGTTGCAACCTCATGTGATGGAGCGAAGAGGGGACTGGACGGATGCAGGCATGGGAGCAGGGTTAGGAATGATGGTAATTGTGGATGGATAGATGGAGAGATGGGTGCATCGGCAGTCCTCACCATGCCCCAAAACTCTGAGATCAGCTCATGGGTTAGCTTTGTGGTCCCGAGGCGTTACTCCAATGCTCGCAGCGACGTGATATTACTGGATTCCCGCGTACGCTCAATTGCGAGGACTTGCAGCGCCAGGTCAGCAAAACTGTCGCCCAGTTTATGGTACGACATCTTTTCATTCTACTCGAACTGGTCACGCGCACTCTCATTACCACCAAGGCCCCTAGCCATCAAATGATGAAATAACAACACACGCTCAAACCTATAAGGAGGAGGAGGAGGAGGAGGAGGATTAGGGAAGGATAAGGAAGTGACGACGCTATAGGTATGGGTGCGGTTGTCGGACACCGAGGAGGGCTTCCTGTCGAGCGGGGGCCCCCATCCGACAACACACACCCATAGCCCCCCACGGAATTCCACCAAGAGAAACCTGAGCGTCGCATAGGCATGGGTGCCAGGTGTCAGCTCATGATCGAAAGCGGTTGCACCCTCACTCGGCAATCGCTGTCGCCCCGCCCCAAAATCATGTCGACGCCCGCAGCTCTCAATGCCGCCGGCGTCCTCTTCCAAGGCCTCGAGTGCAGCTTCAAGGCCACTCCGCACTGTCCTGCTGCGACGGGACCTGTCAGCGGCCGTGCCGCCACTTGGACCGTGCAAGCGGACTCACCAGCGGCAGTGGAGATGCGAAAAGCAGCCACACCGTGTCCACCAACGCAGAGGCAGCGACAGAGAAAGGCTAAAGTTACCAGCCTGGAACACATCCCTATCCCTATGCTGGGCATCTCCTCATCACGATGCCGATCTTAGGGATTCCCATATCTTTTGAGGGCGAATCCCCAAGATTGTCATCGCCTTTTGGCGTGTCGATCTCAGGGATAGGGATACGCCCGAAGCTGGTAATAAAGGCCGCCCGTGTGGGGCAGGAACAGGTGGAGTTGGAGCCATGGCCCCACACTGCCGACGCACCCGCGGTGCCGGTGTGGAGAACATCGGGCTCCAGATCGCGCCACCGATCGCGATCTGGAGCGGCGCGGCCCGATCGGCGGTGCGGCGCGGCCCGCCGACGCCATCTGCCCGGGGGCCCCCCTTTTGGGCGGCCTGGAACGGTGTCGACCAAAGCAGTCGCCGCTGAGGGGGGGAAGGTCCGGGCACTGCAGGCGAGCGTGGCAAAACAGGCCCGGCGACCCGAGACGACGGGCGAGCGAGTCCAGCATGGCGACCTCATGCGGCGACGCGTGGCCCAGCGGAAGGGGCGATGTGCCAGCGGACGAGTGTCTGGACGAAGGTAGTCCAGACGCGTGGGCTGGGGTAGTCCAGCCGACAGTCGTCCAGCCATTGCCAGTTCGGCGTCCAGCCGAAGGTGGTCCAGCCGATGGTAGCCCAACCGAACGACAGCAGTCAATGCATCGTTGACGATCCAGGAGGGGAAGGATTAAAAGAGGGATGGCCATCCCGCACGAATCGCCAAACGCCTCCTGGACCCCGGCAATAAAAACATCCAGGAATCGCTCGCCTCGTTCTCGTCCTCGTCGTCGTTGCCTCCTCCTCCTCCTCCTCCTCCTCCTTCCCTTTCTCCTTCTCCTTCTCCTCCTCCTCCTCCTCCTCCTCCTCCTCCTCCTCTTCCTCCTCCTCCTCCTCTCGGAGCTGGCGCCTGACGCAGTGCCAGGCAGAGTCCCCGAAGAGCTGCGCGTTCGAGATCTGCTTGGTCCAGCACCAGCGGACCTCCCCTCCCCGCCTTCCTCCTCCTCCTCCTCCCCCTCCTGGCCATGTGGGTGGTGGGTGGAAATGGTGGTGGGAGTACCTCCCGTCTCTGTCATCTTTTACGACTGCAGGACCGAGAATTCTTGAGTCCCTGGGCATGGAGCTTTGCGCTGTCGATGGTTCCGTTCCAGTCCTACTCCTCCTGCTCCTCCTCCGCATCCTCCTCTAGGTCACGAGAACGCCCGACCACTTCGCACCTCGACCTTGCCGTCGCCGTCGCCGTTCGCCGTTCGCCGTTCGCCGTGGCCGTGGCGGTTCGCCGTCGCCGTCGCCGTCGTCGTCGTCGCCGTCGTCGTCGTCGTCGTCGTCGTCGTCGTCGTCGTCGTCGTCCGCCTTCGCTAGCGCGCGCCCCCGCGGCTCCCCTCTCGGAGACACCTCCTCCTCGTCGTCCTCCTCCCTTTCCTCCTGCTCCCTCTCCTCCGACTCCCACTCCTCCCCCTTCTCGCTCCTCGTCGTCGTCCTCCTCCTCCTCCTCCCTTTCCTCCCTGACCTCTTCCTCCCTTTCCTCCTCCTCCTCCTCCTCCTTCTCCTCCTCCTCTTCCCTTTCCTCTTCCTCCTCCTCCCTCCTCCTCCTCCTTCTCCTCCTCCTCCTCCTCCTCCTCCGTCCTCTGTCCGTCTCCTCCTCCTCCTCCTCCTCCTCCGTCCTCCGCCCTTCGCCCTCCGCCCTCCGTCCTCCTCCTGCTCCTCCTCCTCTTCCTCCTTCTCCTCCTCCACCATGCTCAGCCCCTGAACCTCTGGCGCTATGATATCCTCCTCCTTCTCGCTCTATTCCCCCTCCTCCTCCTCCTCCTCCTGCTCCTCCTGCTCCCCCACCTCCTCCTCCTGCTTTCCTGGCTCCTTTTCCTCTTGTTCCCCCTCTGGCTCCACTGGCTCGTCCAGCCCATGCACTTTCTCATCCAGCTCCTCGAGCCTCTCCAACCTCTCTTCTTCTTCTTCTTCTTCCTCCTCCTCCTCCTCCTCCTCCTCCTCCTGCTCCTTTTCTCCTGCTCCGCTCTCTCACTCCTCCTCCTCTCTCCTCTCTCTCCCCTCCCCTTTCCTGCTGCTCCTCCTCCTCCTCCTCCTCCCTCCTCCTCCTCATCCTCCTCCTCCCCCATCGTTCCCATCAGTCCTCCTGCTGCTCCTCCTGCTCCTCCCTGTACTCCTCCTCTCCTCCCTCTCTCCTCCCCTCCTTCCTCATCCTTCCTCCTCCTCCTCCTCCTCCTCCTCCCCTCCTCCTCCTCCCCCTCCCTCCTGCGTTCCTGGATTATTGTCTTTCCCCTCCTCCTCCTCCTCCGGCTCCTGCGGCTACTCCAGCCCATGACCTTCCTCATCCAGCTCCTTCAGCCTCTCCAGCCCCTCATTTCTCTCTCTTCCTCCTCCTCCTCCTCCTCCTTCTCCACCTCCATTTTTGCATGTCCTTGTTTCCTCCGTCCTCGTCCGTCCTCCTCCTACCCCCTCCTCCTCAGCGCACCCATGCTTAGGCGGGCGGACAAACATGATCTGAATCTAGGATCGAGCCTTGCCCGAGTTTCCGCGCGACTGCTGAGGAGGGCGGGTGGGGGTTGCGACTGCCTCTGATGCTGCAATCCTCAACCGCTCGAAACTGGAGCAGTCGGCCTACGGAAGCACGGGCACGGATGACTACTCCAGATTTCGTAATAAAAGGGAGGGGGTCTGGACCCTCCAAGACAAGCCATTTCAGACCTCCCCCGTGGGATAACCCTCCAAAACATCGTCCCCAGACCCCCCCAGGCCCTCCAAGATAGCCTGGAAGAGACCCCCCCCGAAATGAGACCCCCCTCCCTTTATTACGAAATCTGGAGTACAGGGGGGGATCTCTTGATACCAGCTCGACATCTGCGTCCAATTCGCTGGCTTGCGCGAGCTCCGCTCCCCAAGCGGCGGGACGTGCTGCACGATGTGCTGCTTGGCAGAGGCGTCGCGGGGGTGGCCAGCTCTGACGCTCTCGGTACGCCAGCGTTGACCCCTCTCCTGGGGAGTGCACCTTTACTTTTAGGTCGGGCACGTCCTCCTACAGGGGGATATGGGAGGGAGCATGAAAAAAGAGTCAAACATATTCAAACCATAGTCGTCCCCAGGCTATTTTTTGTTGTTTTTGATTTCCTCCTGTAGAGGGACATGCCCGACTTAACGTGACTTCCGCCTGATTCTGCCGATTTCCTGCAAACTTCCGCTGGCGAAAATGCGCCGTGCCTGGCCTCCACTGGCTGTCGTGGACCTTCCGCCAACGCCTGGCGAGGCCGAGGGATCCGCTCCTCGACTCCTCGAAAACGTGGCCCTGTTCAGGATGCACAAGGTTTCTGCTGCTCCTATCGTTTTAAGGGTCACATCCTCAGACATACTTTCGAGCACCCAGACAAGTCTCGACACAGTGTCGAACGAGTATCGCCTCCCAGGGCCCGACGCGTAAACGCCCTCCAGTTTCGGTACTTTCTTGGTGCTCGAAACTCTTTCTGGCGATCAAGGCTAACGCAGGTTGAAACATCATAACGCAAGGTTGAGATCTGCACTGCCGCGCCCCACCTGCTCCCACAGATCCTGGGGCGCCCATCGCAGCCCCCAGGTCAGGCAGAACAGCACCAGCGACGCGCCGATCAAGAAGAACACGATCTGCAGCTTCCGCTCGTGCCTCACGGGCTGTGATTTCCCAGTTGCGCCTCTCTGGACCTCCAAGCTCCTGCTCACGCTCGCCATCGCTCGGACGTCCATGGCCACGTGCATTGTTCGTTTCGTTTGTTTTGTGTTTTCTTTCTTTCCTGTTTTTGTGTCTCTCTCTCTCTCCCTCTCTCGCAAAATGACTCAGGATGCTCATCGATGGCCCTCGCCGGGAAACATGCGCACGCCCGAACAATGCCAAGTACACCAGCACGGGAGCATGTACGACTGATCTGGTACGCCTTCGGCTCACCATCGCTCGCTCGCCCGCTTACGCGCGCCATCTTGCGCAAGCGTGCGCCATCAACCGCCCACCACCTCGGCCTCCCAAGCCTCGAAAACCATGGAGGAGGAGGAGGAGGAGGAGGAGGAGGAGGAGGAGGAGGAGGAGGAGGAGGAGGAGGAGGAACACATCCCTCTTCTCTCTTCCTTGCCCTGTGGCTTCCGCCGATTCTGACCGCGAGGGTGCAGCGCCAGACGGAAAGCGAGACGGCGCCAACGATCCGCCCAACTCGGCCCTGGCCGGGCCGATCCCGGGCCCAAGCTATCGGTGGACAGGCTCTCCTTAACCCATCCAGGCTAGCTTTTCCACTGACCCTGGGCCCAAACTTTCGATCGGCGGCCGTGGCAACGGCGGGGCGCGCTGGTGCACCGCTGGGCGGCGCGGGGGGGGGGGGGGCGGAGCGCGGGGAGAGAAGGCCGGAGAGGGCGTGGGAGGTAGCCCCAGCACTGGCGTGGTGCAGCCTGGGCCCAAGCACTGGCTGGCCAGGGATCGGTGCAAGTCTTTCGGTGTCAGTGCCTCCGACGTCACGGCTGCTTTTCCTCACACGGCCTCCGAAGCCCTGGCTCCCCCTCCTGGGGATCGTTTTCTTGCCGCGCAGGGTGGTACAGTATTCTTGGAGGCCACTTCTCGTAGGCCTCCTGCTGGAGCCTGAGGCCGTTGGACCTCGCGTGGATCGCCACATGCCCTGAGCGCGGCGCCCTCCTTGGGTGCGCAATCGGCTCTGCCGCGCGCCAGCTGTTTCTGCCTGGCGCCTCCCCGAACATCCCCCGATATGACTTGTTCAATCCGCGGCCCCAGAGCGCCCGACTCCTCCTCCTCCTCCTCCTCCTCCTCCTCCTCCTCCTCCTCCTCCTCCTCCTCCTCCTCCCCCTTCCTGGTGGATAGCTGTTCGCCCTGGATCCATGTTTGATGGTCCTGGGGCCCGATGACGGGTCCCAGTGGCCGAAGTCGAGGGGAACCGCAAGGGGTTTTCGGAAATCTGGGTCGTGTCCCACGTTAGCGCCGACAAATAGACAATGAAGGCCGCTGGGGCCCGAACGCCATTCCCGTCGGAAATGTGCCAGGATCACCAGTATGCCGCGTGCAACGCGGGTCGCTGCCGGGACCAATCGCGGAAGGCTCCCCCCTCCCCCCGCGGGTGCCCGAACGGGGCAGCGTGAAAGGAGGAGAAGGCGGAGGAGGAGCAGGAGGAGGAGAAGGAAGAGGAGGAGGAGGAGGGGCAGGGGGAGGAGGAGGAGGAGGAGGAGGAGGAGAGGCGGATGCGGATGAGGACGATGAGGCTGAGGATGAGGATGAGGATGAGGAGGAGGAGGAGGAGGAGGAGGAGGAAGAGGAGGAAGAGGAGGAGGAGGAGGAGGAGGAGGAGGAGGAGGAGGAGGAGGAGGAGGAGGAGGAGGATGGGGATGAGGGATGAGGATGAGGATGATGGATGATGATGCTGATAGTGATGATGCTGGTGATGATGATGCTGATGATGCTGATGATGATGATGATGATGGAGGAGGAGGAGGAGGAGGAGGAGGAGGAGGAGGGGCAAACGAGGAGGGGTGATGGGGAAAGGGAGCAGGCCAATGTAGCTGCAGAGGCTCAGAGGCTGAGAAAAGAGGAGGAGGAGGCGGAGGCGGAGAGAGGAGCCATGAGGAGGGCGGAAGAGGAGGGAGGAGGAGGAGGAGGAGGAGGAGGAGGAGGAGGAGGATGAGGAGGAGGAGGAGGAGGAGGAGGAGGAGGAGGAGGAGGAGGAGGAGGAGGAGGAGGGAGGAGCAGGAGGAGGAGGAGGACGATGAGGAGGAGGAGGTGGAGAAGCAGGAGCAGGAGCAGGAGGAGGAGGAGGGAGAAGGAGGAGGAGGAGGAGGAGGAGGAGGAGCAGTAGGAGGAGGAGGAGGAGGAGGAGGAGGAAGAGGAGGAGGAGGAGGAGGAGGAGGAGGAGGAGGAAATGGCTGAAATGGCTGAGAAGTGCACACACGTGCGCCCGCGGGGGGCCCAGGCTGGACCTGACCAGCCCCGACCCCCCGACCGTGGCGAGGCCCTCGGAGACGCCGAAGTAGAGCAGCGTCACCTGCGGCCGAGAAGCTGGGCCATGACCTCGGGAGAGAAGGGGGAAGTGCCGTCCCGCTCGGCCTTCTCCAGCAGCTCCCGACAGCGACCCTTCCTCTTCGGCACCGCGACAGCCTCCGAGACGCCGTCGCCCAGCGTAGCGCCTGCACACGGCGCCAGCGAGACCTGCGCGTCCATGAACTCCTCAGCGACAGCGCCGCCGCGCGCCTCCCCCTGCGCCGCGTAGGCCCGACACCGCACCCTCGGCCGACGTCCAACGCCGTGCATCACAAGGGTAGCTGCACGCCACCGCCGTGCCAGAGCTCCGCGACGGCTCAGGATGAGCCACGCAACGAGCAGCCACCTCCGAGTCCACGTCCACGCTCTCGCTCCCGCTGATCATGGAGTCAGTCACCTCTGCGCCTGGCATCGGCGCCTGCGAGACCTGCGGCTCCGCGAACTCCTCGGCAGCCTCGTCGACGCTCGTCGCCTCCCCCTGCACAGGTTGAGCCATGCGCCGCCCAGCCAACTCCGAGTCCACGTCCCCGCTCTCGCACTGCTCGGTGCCTTCGTCGGACTCCGTCACGCGCGGCATCTGCACAGCAGGGGGCGGGCTCCGCGCGAACACCGTGGTACCGCAATTGCAGCGCACGCCCACGACTCGGCAGGCCGCCCGCGGCTCGAACGGCATGGCCTCAGCCCGCATGCCACTCGCCGCATGCCCCAGACGGGGACCAGCCACAGCCCAGGACAGCGCCGCCGAGGAAGCCGCCGTGAACCCGCCAGGCGGCACGCGGCGCGCATGTCAGGCAGTGTTCCGCCTGAGCCGCATCACACCAGGTACACGATCCCCTGCTGCAATCTTCTGCAAAGCCGGCCTCGACGCACGCTCGCGGTCCACCCACGAGCCCGGGGCGCCCCGTGCCGCAACCAGCGGCCGCAGTGCTGCTTCAAGAGCCGCGCGACCGCGCCGCCGAGCAGCACGCCTCGCCTCGGAAGCGCCGAGGGAGTCCGTTTCCATGATCCTGATCACACTGGGCCGCCACATCAGCGGGCAGCCCCCCGCAACCATCCAAGGCGCGCCCGCCGCCGCCGCCACCGAGCCGCCGACCATGGGCGAAAAGGCAGCGGAGAAAGCGGGGAACACGGCTTGAGCCAAACTGGCTACGGAGGAGGAGGAGGAGGAGGAGGAGGAGGAGGAAGAGGAGGAGGACGAGGGAGGGGGGAGGGAGGGAGGGAGGGGAGGGGAGGGGAGGGGCGGGGAGGGAGGGAGGAGGGGAGGGGAGGAGGAGGAGCGGAGGGGGATGAGGACGAGGATCAGAGGGAGGGAGGACGACGAGGAGGATGAGGGGGCGGAGGAGGATGAGGAGAAGGTGGAGGAGGAGGAAGAGGAGGAGGAGGAGCAGGAGGAGGAGGAGGAGGAGGAGGAGGAGAAGGTGGAGGAGGAGGAGGAGGAGCAGGAGAGAGAGATATAGAGGAGGAGGAGGAGGAGGACGAGGAAGAGGAGGAGGAGGCGGAGGAGGAGGCGGAGCAGGGGTGAGGATGATGATGGGGAGGAGACGGGGGATGAGGCGGCTGATGATGATAACGGTGGTGGTGGTGATGATGCTGCTGCTGATGGTGAGCAGAGCGAGGGAGGAGGAACATGAGGAGGGACGAGGGTGAGGGTGAGGACTGGGGCGATGGATGAGGATTCTGAGGGTGAGAAAGGAGGTGCTTCGAGTGCCCAACTTTCCTGTGCACGACCACGTTCGCCCCGAACAGCACGCAGATGATGAGGCCCGCAATCCAGCCCCCGAAGTGCGCCGAGTGGCTGGTGGTCGAGCTGTCGGAGAGGAACGACAACGCCTGCGCGCGATCTTCTCATGGACTAACATCTTTGCACAGCCCCTTCGTGACGACGGTGGGAGAGGTCTGGGGGGGAGGAAGAGGGAGGAGGGGCCGCAACATATTATATATGTGGGTTCATGGAAAAACGACTCAAGATGACAAACGGGTCCCGGCGAGGGGGTCGAGTGCTCAGCGGGAAGGCCGGCTGCGGACAGAAAAAATCGAGTCGTCGGAAATGTGGGTGGTCACCGACCCGCGCAGAGCCGCAGAATTGCCTGCCCCCCCTCTAAGACGAAGCCAGGACGAGTCGTCAGGACGGGGATCAATTCGGGCGAAGATGAATCGAGAATCTCAGAGACCCAGCGGCTCTGGACGATTTCTCGAGCGCCGCGGCCTCCTCACAGCGTTCTGGAACACTCTGAAAGCGTTCCGGAACGCGCTGGGGACGATTTACCCTCGTCCTAGCCCCGTCCGGCCCCATCCCCCCGATTGGACCGATCACTCCCAATAGAACGGCCCAACCATGCTGGTGGTGGTGCGCCGCTTTGCTTCGCCAGGCGGCGGCAACAACTCCTGGGGCTTCGGCTGTGGAGCCAAGATCGGGTCGTCCGAAGTTTGGGCCGTGAGCGATCCGCACAGCAACTCATAGTCGCTGACCATCCCGATAGGCCGATCTTTCCCATGATCTTATTCTGCTTCGTCCCCGCTTGTTGTGAGGATGTGGGCGCTCCCGGAGCGTCTGATTCTCGGTGGGCTCGTGTACCACGCAGGAGGGGGGAAGGCGCAGGAGGCAAGGAGAGGAGGATGATGAGGCAGGAAGAGGGGGGAGTAAGGGAAGGATGAGTGATGGAGAGGGGTACATTAGGCGGAGGGAAGAAGGAGGAATACAGTGCCGTGATGAAAGATTACCCTATTTTGACGGGTCGGAAGAAGTTCATCCTTCGTCCGCAATGCGAGCACACGTCTGTGCCGTGATGACAGATTGCCCCACTTTGACGGGTCGGCAAAAGTGTATCCTGCGGTTCGAAAGCGGCAAACCGCGTGGGACATCCTCACAAAATCTGCTGTCCTGATGGTTCGAACTCGGTTCGAAAGAAGGGGATGGCGGTTCGAAAACGGCAAACCGCGTGGGACATCCTCACACAAATTCTTGTTCTCACGGTTCCAACTCGGTTCGAAAGAAAGGGATGGCGGTTCGAAAACGGCAAACCGCGTGGGACACCCTCACAAAAATGGTTGTTCTGACGGTTCCACGTCGGTTCGAAACAATAGCATCGATTTCCAAACGGTTGGAAAACGACCGTTTCGCTTGAGACTTCCTTGGAAATGCGTTTGAAGCCCAACGGCCGAATCGACGACGACGACGACGACGACGACGACGACGACGACAATGACGACGACGACGACGACGACGACGACGACGACGACGGCGGTTACGACGTTTACATGCGCTCTCGCCCGAATGCCGGCCACTCCTTAGTTCTCGCCTCACCGCCGGCCAGTGTCTCGGTCTGGCCGACCGCTCTCTGGGGTGGCGCCTGGAGAGGCCCCCGGTGCGGCGCTGGCCCCCTTCCGGAGGGGGGGACGTGCCGGGGGGAGACACCCGCCCTCCCCCTTCAAGGGGGGGACCCCTTGGGGGGGGATACTGCTGTCACCCCCAAACAGCCACATTTTTGAAAAGGACCCGCCCGTTTGGGCTGCTTCTGCTTGGGCCGGCTGATCTACGCCATTTCCTATTGGAAAACCAATATGTTTTCCACTAGTTTTCCGGGTTCTGGCCTTTTCTGCAAAATCGTTTTTTTTTTTTTTTTTGTTCTTCCCCACCCCGGAGGCCGAATCCAACGGGGAAAGCACGACTCATCCGCCCGTTTGGGCTGCTTCTGCTTGGGCCGCCTGATGTACCTAATTTCCTATTGGAAAACCAGTATGTTAGGAAGAGGGAGGATGAGGAAGAGGGAGGAGGACAGGAGGAGGAAGGAGGGAGGAGGGGAAGGGAGTGGGAGGAGGAGGAAGAGGAGGGAAATGATGAGGACGAGGAAGAGGAGGAGTAGGACAGGCGCCGAAGGTTTCGGTGGGGATCGTTCGAAGTAAGATATTGTCTGGGCCAAGTCGTTTTTTTTGGGTTTGACCCCAGCTCCGAAGGCCCAATCCAGCAGTCAAAACATGACCTTCTAGCAGTAAATGCGAGCGTGATCGCAACAGTCTCGATTGCTATCGTAAGTCCAATGCAAATTCGTCCAGGTCGTCCTCGCTGCAACTTTTGGGGCAAGTTGGGGGGAGGAGGGGTGGAAGGATGAGGGAGGAGCTTGCATCGATCAACTTTCAGGCTTTATTGATATTGTTGTGCTCTGCGTACTTGAGCTGTTTGTCAGCAGTGGTGTTCACTGGCAATGTGGCGTTCACAGGCGGCCGGGTGCTCACACTCACAGTGGTGTTCAGGCGTTGCTGGACTCGGGTAGTGTTGATCCGGCTCCGAGGCCAAATCGAGCAGTCAAGACATGGCCTTCGAGCAGTAAATGCGCGCGTGGTCGCAACAGTCTCGGTTCTTATCGCAAATCCAATACAAGATTATCCAGTTTGTCCTCGCTGCAACATGTAGGACATGTTGGAGGGAGGACGGGTGGAAGGATGAGGGTGGAGCTTGCATCGATGAACTTTCAAGGCTTATCGATGTTGCTGCGCTCTGCGTTCCTGGTGTTCACTAGCAAGAGCTCAGAGTCACATTGGTGCTGAGGCGTTGTTGGACTCAGGCGGTATTGATCCAGCTCAGGCCGAATCCAAGAGGTAAACAATTGTCTTGGAAGAAATGCGCGTGCGGTCGCAGCAGTCTCGATTCCCAGCGCAAATCAAATACAAACTCGTCCAGTGTGTCTCCGCTGCAACTTCAACTTGGAGGGAGGAGTGGTGGAAGGATAAGGGTGGATATTGGCGATGTTGTGCCCACAGGCATCTGGGTGCTCACTGTCACTGCGGCGCTCAGGCGCTGCTGCGCCCAAGTAGCACTGATTGTATTTCGGTGCAACCAGCTCCACATCACAACGACGCCGATCGAAGCACCCCCTCATGCCACAACAGCGTGTGGATGCATCGTAGCCATGACTTCGGCTATGCTAAAAAAAGGCCAAACTTTAATCACGCCCATGTAATATGAGGACAAGACAGGACAGGACATCCGCATAAGGGGGTCAACGTCGACACCTACAAAGGATCTGTGAGTACAGCTTGCAAAACACCCTGCGATTAGGAGTATTCCGCAAGCCCAAACTTCTGATGAGGGGGTCAGCAGGGGGCGCGCCCCGAAGCTTCAGGGGGCGAGCTCCGAGGTGGCCCCGTAAGAGAGGCTCGCTACCTTGTGAGTGCGAGTCCCTGCGGGTCAGTGCGGGGGAGCAGCTGTTGGCCCTCTCGCGCGCCCACGACGATGGGGGCGCGCTGGGCGAGCAGGGCCCCAAAGCAGGGGGGAGGGCGACGACGCGACCTCACTCGGCGCAAGGAAAAGAGGAGGGGACGCCGGAGGCCCCTTCGTGCCAAGCTTTGCTAGGGGGGCCTGATTGTATTCAGCCCGCGACCTGCTGTGCCGGCGCTCCTAACAGAGCCCCTCCCTCTTTAGGCCCACTTCTCTTCCTGGACATGCTGGCCGTTCGTTGATCCAGGCAATGTCATGTCTGACTCATTGCTGCGACGCAGCGTTATGTTTCTAGAATCTCTGTAATAATATTGCAGTTGGCCTTGATCTACCCCCTCCGTTCGGCGCGTAAGAAGGGGCAAGCAAACCTGCTATCGTTGTCACGGCGTTTAAGAGACTTTCCAATCTGTCTGTTATGCAGAACCCGTGGAGGAGGGGCTCTTAGGGGTGCACTCCAGTAGCTTTTGTGGTGGTCTTGTTTCCCACTCGTCTCCCCCAGTGGTGGTGCGCCTGTCGGCGCTCCAAAAAATACAAAGACGTTGCTCTGTGCGAGCTTATCTCCTCAAGGCCCGCACTCCGAGATGTCCCCCCTAGCGGCGGCCCCTCCGAGCTCATCTGTCGCAGCCGGGGAAGTGCCGTCCGGTCTGCCTGGTGTCGCGCTCCGAGACATCCCCGCTAGTGCCCCTCCTGGCCGTGCCAGTAGGCGTCCTCGCGCACGGCCGCTGGAGCTAGCCGCTTCACCTGGCCCGGCGCGCATCTCGAAGATCTCCGTGCTGCCCAGCGGGGTGTTCGTGCTATCGCGGAGCTCCTGACGTTTGTTGAGCCCATCGACCTCCTGCTCCTCGAGATCCACCGCGTGCTTCAGCTCCCTCATGGCTACCTCCATGACGCTCTGTAGGTTATCCGTGTTGTTCTTCGATATCCGCAGCGCCAGCTCGCACCAGCTGCGCGTCGAGAAGAGCTTCCTGCTGCTTCCCACATGTCAACTGGGCACTTTGCAATCAGCGCGCAGCCCTTGACTTGGCGCGCCATCGGGAAGGAAGGCAGGATCAGCTCGCACAGTTCCTCAGGGCTCATCTTCTGGACCGCGTAATAGAACTTGTACTGGTCCCTGTGATGGCGTCGTCGAGCGCTTGCGGCAGCCTCTCAGCTACGAGCGCTCCCCACTTGTCGCCTACCTTGAGCCCCGCCACCATGGGCCGCGCATGTCTGCGCGGGTGGAACCTCGACATGCAGCCGATCTCGGGCCACTTCTCGCATTCCTCGTTGAAGCCCTTCTTCATCTTGCTCACCCATTCTTTTATGGGCTCTCCAGTGTCGTCGCGAGCGCCTTCCAATCCACTCTGCGCCAAAACTTCCACTGACCTCCCCTCGAGGTAGCACTGGGCCCCCCCCGCCGCATCTTGTTGGGGAAGGCCAGCCCGCGCAGTCCTTTTTTGCGCCCCAGCCTGCGTTCCTCCCGAGCGCGTTGAACTGCAGCATGTTGTCGCGCCACTTGTCCACGAAGTCGAGCGTCCTGAGGTACTGCGTTTGCTTCGCGCCCCTGTTCTTGCACGTCTTGTAGTCGCCGAGTCCACGCAGCTCCTTCTCCTTCCTTCTAGCTCTTGCTTGGCTGCCTTCAGCGCTTCCTCGTCCGTCACGTCCATGAGCATGTACTTGCGCAGCGTGATGTCGTGCTCTTCCGCGCGCCTCAGCGCGTCCGCCATCTGCTCTCCTGCCTTGCTGAAGGCCGCGACGCTGCCCGCGTTCTTGGACCTCTCGACCACCTTGTTCCTCTGCTTGCGTGACTTCTTCTTGGGTCCTTCTTCTGCTCCGATGACCGTCTTCGCTGCCTTGTTATGCCCCAAGGATTGCTCCGTCCGCGGCGCGCCCGTTGCTTTCTGCTTCTGCTCAGGGCACACCTGATCCCTCGTGATGTACTTCTCTCCAGGCCGAAGCCTGTCCTCCTTGCTCCACTCGCTCCACTCTTCTTGCCTGGGAGCCAGCTCGCAGTCGATGCGTATCCTCTTCTACTGACTTCCTTATTCCTCCTTGGTCTTGTTCGCGTCCTGGCTCGTTCTTGGCGTGCCCCCTGCTGCTCTCGATCATCCTGTAGCACTCGTACCCCTCGCCGCATCAGCCGCCTGGCCAAAGCTTTTCGCTGCTGGTGAAGGCCATGGACAGCCCTCTGCGTCCCGCGCTCTGGGATGTCCCGGCAGATGCCAGTGCGCACATGGGTCGTTGTTGAGCCAGATGGGCTGTGGGAGCCGATGGGAGCAGATTGGCTGTGCCCACTGGTCCCACGGATACCTCGTAGTACTCTGGAGCCGGGGCCCACTCTTGAACCTCACTGTCCGTGACTCATCGCTACATTGTTTGTCTGATGCTTGTAAAAGCTGCAAAGGCCCCCAGACACGCCGTATCGCCGCAACTGTAATAGAAATGGGGGGGGGGTAAGAGAACAATTGAGAAATGTCGTGCCGTCACACATGAATACGTCGGCTACTGACTGGGGTGGGAGGTATGGTTTCTGCCTGGGGGGCCACGTCTCACGGCGTTCCGCTGCAACTCTGCTTCCCGTTCAGGCCGATACCCTGCCAATTTGGGACGTGTGTCTGAGCTTGGTGAGGCGCTCAACATCCATGGTGATTGCCTCCGCTATCTCTTCCTCGCAGGAGAGATGCCGTTTCGCTTGTCCGCTGTTGGGCACTCCTCCTAGGCCCATCTGCACTGGGGGGGCCTCTCGGGGGGCGGCGTCCTCAGAGCTCAGAGAAGATGCCTTCGGAAAGGGTGCTGTGAAAGTATTTGTCCGCGTCAACCGCGGTCTGGCACTCAGCCCTGGGGTTTTTGCACTCCGAGATACCCTCGCTAATGCAAACGCCCCCTCCTCCCTCAGCGGCGCCGACGCTGGAGTTCTCGTCCCACCACCCTCTCCAACTCCGTCTTGGGCGCCGCCGACTGAGATTTCTTGCCGCCCACGAACACGATCAGCATCCCCACTGCCTTCGTCAGGTTGTGGCCCGAGAACTTGTCTAGTCTTACCAGGGTCTCCTCGTTGGTGCCCGTCGGGAGCGCCGCTCGGAAGTTGGGGGTCGTGTTGATGCATATCTGGGTATTGCCCATGCCCTCCTCCCAAAACTGCTCGTCTTCGTTGGGGTTCCTGTTCTTGCTGTTGCGAACCTTGACCTTGCGCAGCTTGATCGTCTCGGTGACCATGGCCTGGCTGTAGGTGTTGCTGCCGCCCACCAGCATCAGGAAATCGTTTGGCGTGTCCATCGCCCAATCCATCGATGCTGCCACTGATGTGGCACCGTCCTTCTGAATTCCGTCATTGTCTCTTGGATGCCTTCCATGAGCGTGAGCGCCAGCCCTGTGTGGATGTCTGACGGCCCGAGCAGGTGCCCCGTGCCTGTCTCCCTGACCAAGTTCCCGTAGCAATGGCCCGCTGCCATCGACTTCCGAAACGCCTAATTGCTGACTGGAACGAGGTAAAAGTCCGTGGTCAGGTGGCTCATTCCTCGCAAGGAGGAGGAAGAGGAGGAGGAGGAGGAGGAGGAGGAGGAGGAGGAGGAGGTTTACGAGTTTTAGGATGAAGGGGAGGAGGAGCTGTGAGGGAACGGAATAATGTCTAAAGTGAACTACGACTCCGCCGAGCCGGCCCCATGTGAACACAGCGAGCACGGAACGGCCAGCTTGGGGGATGCGGCTCTCCTGATCGCCCCGTCACGAGCTGGCCCGGCTCCCTCGGAGCCGCTCGCAGACCCGCAGGCAGAAGCAGACCTCCTCGACGGTGGAGACGAGAGGCCCGAAGGGACAGGGTAGTACGCAGGGGGGAAGGATGGACTGCGGGGCGAGCGGTCGTGGGCGGGGCGGCATCCTCGCGCCCCCCCCCCCCATTCGGCGCCACGTCGATGGTGGCGAGCATGAATATCATCAAGAGCTTCGCGTTCGCGAACTTCCTGTCTCAGCGCGGCCCAGGCCCGGTCCCCCTCTCGCTCTCCTGCCCCCTCCTCCCCCCCTCCTCCTCCTGTTCCTCCGCCTCGCCCTCTGCTTTCCAGTCTGCAGCCTCCTCCCCCTCCTCCTGATCGCCGCGGTCCTTGTCCTAGTTATCCTACTCTTAGCCTTGCTTGCGCCCCCCTTCTTGTCATCGTCGTCATGGTCGTCGTCAGCATCGCCCTTGTCCTGATGCTCATGCTCGTCCTTGTCATCGCGCAAATCGCCCTCGTCCTCGTCGTCGTCGTCGTCTCTCCGCTTCTTCGGGCCCCGATCTCCATTTGGCGCACCTAATCGAAACCACACGGGCCCCGAAGACTTCCAGGAGCCCCCCCAACCCTCCGCAACCTCCTCACCCAGACCTCCGAAGACTCGATTCTTGTCGAGTCCCCCAAGATAGACGATCTTCCCGCGTAAAACTTGCAGCTGTCCCGGGGCCAGGGAACAGACCCGAGATGCCGAACACAGCAGTAAACCTCCGGCGCAATCTCCTCGGATCGCCAAGACGCCCAGCTCCCTTCGACTAGCCTCCTCTTCCGCGCCTGCACTTCTGGGATTCCGAGCCCAATGACGCCGTCGCCGTCGCGCACACACCCGCAAATCGCGCTCGATCCCTCAACACTGTACCCATCGGTCGGAAGAAGTAGGTAGAAACATGAAGTAGGTGAAGCCACTCGATCATTGAAGTGGAAGGCGCTTAAAGTAGATTGGGATCTGGGAATCCAGAAATGCCTTCTTTCAACGACCGATGGGTACGGATGCATGGGGGGCATCTTCAAAATGTGGCTCTCGCCTTAGCGCCGCCTGCATTCGTCTCACAATTTCCCAGCAGTTAATTACGCGGACGGAGGGGAGATCATCTCCAGCTCGTGGCATAGCGCCGCGCACATTCGCCTTCAATATTGGCGAGAGTTGCACGGAAGAAGATGGGGTTCGGCGGCGAGCCCGGAGGGGAAGTGAGAAGGGGCGGGCCTTCTCAGAAGGCTCGGAAGTCCCCCTGCGAGAAGTTTTCTAAGCCTTCCCCGAAGACAGAACACCTCTCAGAAGGCCAGGGCGCTTCTGAGAAGCACCGCCGCCTGCTGAGAAGGCCTTCTCCTTCTCACGTCCCCCCCTGGGCGCGCCGCCGAATTTGGTTTTTGGATCATAGCTCGGTTCTCTGGCGGCCGTTCGGGGCGATCCAGGCACCCGCGGACCGCTCTCGGCGAGGCGCGGCCGCTGGAACGCATCCCGAAGCTGGAAGGCCTCCGAGAGCCAACGACGACGCCCGAAAACCTCGAGACCCGCGTCCTTTCTCACTTCCCCCTCTCGCTCGCCGCCGAAAGAGGGAAGGCACGAGGTCCGAGGTTTGCGGGTGTCGTCGTCGGCTCTCGGAGGCCTTCAAGTCTCGGGATGCGTTCCAGCGGCTGCGCCTCGCCGAGGGCGCTCCGCCAGCCACTGGCCCCAGAACCTGTCCTTCATGCCGAGTCGATCTTGACGACCCTGGGGCTCTGGAACAACGCAGGACTCTGAAAACTGCGAAGCACCTCCGCCGCTTGTTCTCCGAAGTCGCCAGAGGTCGCAGATCCTGGCCTCCAAGCTCACGCCCCCGACCCGTCCTGGAGCGTGCCCTGGCCGACATCTGCATGGGCATCGAGCCGTGGCCGTGCGCGCGCCCCCGGGAAGCCCTCCGACTGGGCCACAGCTCTTCAATCCTCGAGCCACTACCCCCGCCCTCCTCACCGGGCCGTGACTTTCTGCCGACTACCCCCGGCTCCGTGACTTTCTCCCGAGCCACTACCTCGAGCCACTACCCCCGGCTCCGTGACTTTCTCACGACGCCGACCCCGTGAGGTCTCGACCCCTGCACTGGGACGGGCTGTTCGTTTTCACGGCCCCGGGCCCGGTGAGGGCGGCCCCGAGGCGAAGACGACGACGACGACCACCACCACCACCACCACCACCACTACCACCACCACCACGCGACGACGACGACGGCGGCGACGACGACGACGACGAGACCCTCCCTGGTCGGGACGGACGACAGGGGGGGGAGGCATGTGCGGGGGATTAACGAACCAGCTCACGCAGCTGGCTCCCCCGGCGCCGGAGGGGCGGTCAATCGTCCGCCGTGCTTTCTCTGCGATGCCTTTGGGGTCTGGGCGCCCGGGGCCGCGCCTCGAGCACCAGACCCCTCTCGACTGCACGCAGGGGCGACTCTGGGCAGGGGTGCCCTACGGTGCGCGGCTTTTGGGGAACCGCGGGGGGGGGGGGGGGACCACGCGCAAGCGCGCAAGGCGCTGCCACCGCATCGCGCTCGGCGATCGGGGGACCCCAGTGGGCCCGCGCCAGAGGTCACTCCCCGGCGAAGGGTCACTCTTGCGTGTAGCCGGCCACCCCGAGGCCGCACGCCGAGGCGCCGAGGGGGGCGACGAGGACGGCGGGGCAGGAGTACACGGCACTCGCCATCGCTCGGGCGACCATTCCCCGTGCGTTCCTCGGCTTCGTGCGTGTTTTTTCTTTGGGGGGGCAAGATGATCCAGGATGCTCCTCGGTGGTCCTCGCCGGGGAAGGAACACACGTCCGAGGGCACTATACGGGCCCAGGGGGCACCAGCGTCCCCGGAGGGCGTGCTGCACCCCCTTCTGTCTGCAGGCCGCGGCCGCGGCCACCCCGCCTTCCGCCCGGCCGGCGGCCTCTTCTGCCTCCTCCTCTTGGAGGAGGAGGAGGCAACAGCGAACGACGACAGCGACGACGACGACAAACGGCCACTTTCAAACGAGCCCACTGCCTTGGAAGCGGGCCGAGCGGTGTTTACGACACCTCTCGGTGCCCACCCTGGGGATCGCGGTGGAGATGCGCCACAGCGCAGCTGAGCAGTACAAGAAGAAAGTGAAAGTGAAAGTGAAAGGCTCAGACTTACAATTAATTCGCGATTGAATCAATATGGATTATGCGTCTAGGCGTAGCCAGGCGACCTCTGGATCGGCAACTTGCAACCGCCTCGGCCCCGAAATACTTTCAAAGCGATGCAGATCGGCAGGGTGCCTATTGGTGTGAAACCGATGGATGTGGGAACGACTCCGCTTGGAGACTGGGGGCGGGGGGCAGGGGTCCAAAAGGGATGACGCCCTCCCCGTGGATATCCCTCCGCACACCAAACAAAAGGTCTACCTTGCCAGGGGCCGCGCAGAGTTCGTGCCCCCTGGCCGCACCAGGAGGCATGTCACCTTGCGCGGGCAGCTCGGCCACGGGGCGGGCACTCGGCGCAGAGTCGGGCCCCCACGGGGAGCCACGCGGCGGGCCTTGCACGGTGGCTTACGTAGGCCCATCGGAGGAGCGAGGGCGAAGACGATCGGCAGCAGCAAAGGCGACAGCGTCGACGTCGCGACGGAAACGCACCCTCCTCTCGCCCCCGGACGGGAACGCGGCGGAGGCGAGGCGAGCAGGACGAATGCGCAGAGGGGCCCCTCTCCGCGCTCGGCTCCGAGGCGGCTCTGGGAACCCCTTCGGGTGACCTCGAGCGCTCTCGGATCCTAGCCACGACTCCTTCCCGCAAGTCCTCCCCCCCGACCAATCGATCATGGGCGGCGAGCTTTGCGGGACAAGCTCGGCGCGCCAGCATCTTGCGCTGGGCCTCGGGGCGGGTGTTACGGAAACGCCTCCACCCCTCACGCACAGCGTGCAGATGATGAACATAGTTTTGAACTCGACCAGCCCTCCCCTCCACCTGCGACAGCCGACGGCGACGACGCCCATCAAAACGTTTCTGGCCTGGGGGGGCGGTCTGTCCCACACACACACACACAAATATATACACATATATGTATATACTGTGTGTGTGTGTCTGTGTGCTTTGGCCATCCAGAGAAGTGTTTTCTCGGCGGCACTGAAACGAGCTCTCGTGGCCTTCGCCTGGGCCTTGGGAGCCGCGTGGAGGCCCCTGGCCCTGGACGGCGGCGACATCGGCCCAGCGATTCCCTCGAGCCTCGAGCGATCGACTTGTCTGGTGGAGACTGGCGTGTAAAGGATTCTCAAGTCTGGGCGCAGTCCTTCAAGATCTGTGATTATCGCCCAAATCTCGCTCCACAGGTCCGCATTCGGTCGCCGCGGCCAGCAGCACCACCGTTTGCCTCTTCCGAGGCCCTGCGGCAGCTCAATGAAGTCGGTGTGCGCGAACAATGGAAGCAGGGCCACCTCGAGGAGCTGGGCAACAGCGTGCATCTCGGCCCGCGGGCTGGTCTGTATCGGGCCAAGCAGGGCCCGCAAGACGCGCAGCTCGACAATTGATTTTGTGACTTGGGCGAATCCCCACCCCGCTCGGGTGGCTTCCTTCCAACGGCGGTACTTGTGGCCAGCCCCGTCCGCCCCGTACTTGTGGCCAGCCCCGTCCGTCCAGCCCCGTCCAACTTCCTGGGCTCGTGCCGCGAGCCCCTGAGGGCCGCGCGCATAACTCGCGCCAGAGGCGGCGGCGCCCCGTGTGCGCCCACGCCATGCGCGAGTGCAGATGGGATCGCAGCCTTGGCAAATCGGCAGGCCGACTGCCCTGCCCTCTTGACGCGCCGGAGTCGTGAATGGCGCCCCGGCACCATGCGTGGCCGACTACGCGGGCGTGTGAACTTACGCGCCTTCTCTGAAGATGCTTCCACACCTAGGACTTTCAACGAATCGAGGGCACGATGTCCCAGGCCAAACAGTGCACGACATACCCGCTTCGCAGTAGGCATGTACGTGGCCGTGACTGTCATCTTCCTCTTGGCGGGAGCCAGTTCTATAGACTGCAATGCGTCGACCGCCCCTTGCAAGACCTGACGGGCATGTTTCAGTATCCTCTCGTGGCTGGCAACAATATGTATCGTGAGATCGTCAGCATACACATGTAAAGCCATATCAACCGAGACCGAGGACACCACCAAATCGCCGAGGGGAGTGATCATGACCAACTGTAGTATGTACATCGCCAAACTACATCCAGGTAAGACTCCCCGAG